ATAAGCTTTTTCTCGCGTAACACGAGCGCCAAAGGTAGCCGATGTTCCGCACGCAATATCATTATTATTGGCGTATTTGATTGTTTCTGATACGGTCGATCTGACTTGAGCCGTATCGTGCCGACAGCTACACGACAAAATCGTTACACACGCGACACACGTTTGCTGTATGCGAAATCGAAATTCGACGTACGGTTAACTACAATAAAATTAATTCTACATTGATTTTGTTTTGAAAAACACCCAAAAGTCCTATAATTACCGAGAGTCGTAGACAAATGAGATTGACCCATCTGTAGAACCAATGCACAGATTTATAGTGTAGACCGAGTTGTCCGTTGTTGGGTGGAAAAATATTGCGATTTCGAAAATTGTATTAATAATTATTATAATAAGGTTACGGTTTGTTTTTACGCGACGGTCGGTTTCTGTAATTACAACATGTACTTATATTACGCAGCGGTTGGAATGTAGCTACTTTTTGGTTTTTTTTTTTATAGCTATACTGCAGTTTTATTTCGGTAAGCAAAACTTATACATACGTATAGCACGGTGACACTATGGTTTTCATGTGAATAAGTACGGCGTGGCGCAAATTTCGCTATACTAAACGCTACTTTTTACCAAACCGAATTGGGATTACGCGGCCAAGACACAACACGTTTACTGATAATTGAAACGAGTTCATCACTCAAAGGGTTCCCCTTTTAGAAAGCTTTCACTTTATAATATTCAGAATATTTCAATTGAATTGAAAAAATTAACATGACCATATTTTGGGATGAAGGGATAAATAAAAGCAGAATGTTATATTGTAAGAATTAATATTTAAGGCACTACATTTTGTAAGATGGCCAGTAAAATATTTCGATGGGAAAGGGGGGGGGAGTGGTTTAAATATAAAATTCTCACTCCTTACAGGTTATTATTTTTATCGGTTACATTAAATAATTACCATATTAAAAAACTTTAAATTATTTATTGATATACGTTATAAATACACACATCATACATAAGTAAAATTAATATAAATTTAAAAATTGTGTTTAATCTTCTTGAAGACCTCAAAAATTTGTTTAAAAATAATTATATGTTTGGTTATAACTTAGTATATATGCGTGTTAGTTTAAAAAAACATATCAATGAGATTTATATTATTAAACTATGATTTAAAACTAGTATACCCTGTATATCTACAACAAATTCAGTTTGGAATTTAAAAATTGCATGGTTTAAAAAATTTTTAAAATGTCAGTGATTTCCATATCTTCGGTAAAATGCAAAAAAATTACTTAAAGAAGATGTATGTACTAAAAATCACTCATATGGAATAAATATAGAAATTCCATAAAAAAATTCTGAATTATTAATTGTTAAAATATTATTTTGTTTATTTTGTTAACGTTTGTTTTGGCGAGGAATACATAATACTCATTGTTATATTATTATAATTTTGACAAAAAACATCTACATTCGTAAATAATTTGTGAAATTCTTCATCATCAATTTCGGTAAGGGGAGTGGATATAATTTTCAAATCACCCTGGCTAACCATGTAGGCTACACCACTGGCTATAATACACTACAGTTGACTGGATTACAACATTGAGAAACTTAACTTATTATGTATACTATTTTTAATGTATATAATAAATAAAAGTTGGGAATGTAGCCATAATACTGAATAATTTATGGATTATATTGAATCTACAACGATAAACCAATGCAAATGAAATATAATTCTGAGCAGAGTTCAACTAAAACGGTTATAAATCACGTTTCAAATTAACTTGAATTAATTAAAACACTTGTGTCAAATTTTCAAAATATCCGAAAAAATTCTTCACGTAAAAAGAAAAATATTCGAAAATTTCAAAGAGCTTATAGAAAGCCAGAATGATTTTAACATTCTATAAAGTCTTATAATAATATAGTTCAGTGAAAAATTTCTCTTCTAGAAATTAGATACTGTTGCACTGTATTATGTCTATCTTTATTTATTATACGTTTATATAAACAAGTAGATATTATATCTTTTTTCCAGTACATTTTGATATTTTTAGCGGCTGCCTCTGGAATAAAAGAGCTCAAACTTTGGAATTAAGAGTTTTTTTTATAAGCAAATTAAAGTGATAACTCATTGTTTGAATTTTAATATTAACTTCACCATGTTATTGTTAGAGAAGGGTGGTTTTAGCTTTCAGACTAACCCTACAGACTCTTCAAATGAAGCTAAGGTCACAGCACTGTGTGTATGTATGGTTTAAGTATCAAGGATGTGCCTTTTGTTAGTTTCATTTTTCAATTTCCTCCCCAATCATTTTTACACTCAGACTTAATGTTTTTATAAAAAACAGCGGGATTTAAATACCCTTACACTCATGAACCTAAGTAGCATGGTTAAAATATGCATACATAAATATAATTGTTGTCAAGGATGTATATTTAGGAGGTTTAATTTCCAACCCCCAACCATATCGTATGTTTGTGTATTACCAACAATCTCGAGTATTATAAATTTATCAATTTGTAAAACTTTTATATTCAATTCCATATCATTAGATAAAAAACAATTCAAAAAAATAAAAACAATTCAAAAAAATAAAATATTTTAAAGGCAACAAGTCAATTTGAGGGGGGGGGGGGGAATATTACCTTAGTATTGGAGCTCTGCTCATTTGTTTTTTTTTTTTTTTTTTGTGGTTTAAGGTTCTCCTACCAATATTTAGAAAAATACAAATACAAATGAACTTCCCAATGCACCAATTAGATGACAATATTTCTACTTCCTTTGTAATAGATGATTAAAACACGCCTTCTGGTCGAAGAATTATTTATAATATACTGAAAAAAAAACACATCACGCTTATTTACTTTAAAGGTTAAAAACAAGTATTGGTATATTTTATAGCTATAAATCCGTAATACATTATTAAATGTTTTATTATTTTTCATTGTTAAATAAAGCTCACGGGTTTTCTAAAAATATAGACAATATTTTCGTAAAACTTCCGAATTGTTACGACTTATGTAAAATATAAGACTGTTTTAATTTAAAAAATACAATATATTATAATGAAAATATATTTATGATTATAAATAAAAGAATACAAAGAACGCTACATTATGCATTCGTTTTACAAAAATACAGCAAAATTATATACAGCAGAACCAATTTTGGGCTGTTAATTTTATTAATAGAGTGAATAGAATTTGTTTTTTTATCAAACTTGAAGGGAAGATCATTATTTGGGTTTTACAATGGTTTTTTTCAATATTTTAATTTTCTAAGTGAAATATGAGTGTGAAATATCATAATTTAAAAATTCAAAATATATGCATTTTGCGTATAAATTAAAATATTAAACAAATTCAACGTATAAACACAAAGTTCGATTACATAAAAAAAAATATTATTTAATAATAGGACAATTATTCATTCTAATATTATAACTAGAAGCATACAAATGGTCCTGCTAGATGTCAATATGTCCTGCGCTTATAAAACAGAGACAACAAATGTATGTGTTGGCACGTATATAGCTTAATAAATTTGTTAAGTAAAAAAAACATTAATACAATATTTTTTTGTTGAAATTAATTTACATAACATAGACCTGTTATAAAATCCTGGCGAGTCAGTCTAAATAGACAACGATTTTCTTTTTTAAACACGATGCTTTGATTATTAAAAAAAAAAAAAACTATTTTTAAACTAGGCCATAACCATTGTATTCACTTAAAGTCAAATAAAAACTGATAAAACTCTTAATGGCTATTAGTAGATTAAAAATCGTAAGAATGTATTGAAAATGTTGCCACGTTCAGAAAATGCTATTATAAGTAATCTATGAAAATGTCAAGACTTTACAATTAATTTTCACCGAATTACAATGAAAATAATGAAATCGTTACTACCGCGCGTACACTTTTCCGTTATTGCCTAGTTATTAAGAAAAATAAAAAAAATAAAATCAAAAAAAATTACCTCCCCAAAGCATCGACTAGATAAAATGTGCGTTCAGTAAAAACTTTACACTTCGGATTTGAGATTTCTAGTAAAAAAAAAATTGTCCATAGACACAAACAGAAAATACACACACACGTGTAATAGAGTAAAACCCAATTCGCATTATACGCCACGCTCATAATCTAAAATAAGGATTTGAAAATGCCCTGCGATGACGTCTCGTTATTGTCGCACCTCGCGCCGAAATTCAGAATCGAACAAAATTAATTTACTCTATTAGATATACATAAAAAATCTATAGGGATTAATCGGATTACGGTTGTATTCCGTTCGTATAAGACATTTTTTTAGAATCTAAGTGGAGTGAGGAATGTATTGGTTTCACAATAATATTTATATTTTTTTAATCTGTGAATTACTTTTCTACCAACAATGTTGCTCTGATTTACTATGATAACGCTTTTTCTGAAAGTAAATTTGACGGGAGAAGTACTTAGGGGGGTAAATTTTTGATTTTCTCAGCAGTTTTCCCAATAAATTTGAAAAAACTTAGAAAAAACATAAAATTAGGTATTATTTTACTATAATATGACACATATATATTGTTGACAAAGCAATACTATCAACCGAACTTCGCTCAGAATCGGTTTTTCATTAGGAATGGTTAATCGTTGCTTACAGATGTATGCATTACATTTCCCCTCTTCTACCTTCCCAACTACTCACCTACAACAGTGGCCCACCAACGTGCGAAGTATGTCCGTATTTTTTAGATTCTATATTGAACTGAATGTATGGTTTTACAATGATGTTTATTTTTTTTTTATCCGTGAACAACTTTTCTACCGTCAATTTTGCTCTGATTTACAGTGATAGCGCTTTTCCTGAAAGTAAATTTGACAGGAGAGGCATTCAGGAAGGTCATTTTTTGATTTTTCCAAGAGCGTTTCCAATAAATGAGGAAAAATGGGAAAATAGGTACAATATTAAACCAAAATATTATTTATCAAAAATATACAACGCGTATGTAATTTTATTTTACCATAATATGGCATATATTGTTGACAAGGCAACACTGTCGACCGTATTCCGCTCGGAATCGTTTTTTTCGTTAGCGACGGTTAATCGTTGTTTATACAGATATATACATTAAATTACCCATAACAGTGACTGCACCCGTTCCCATTGTCCTAGGACAGCCATTTCACCTTTCGTTTTTCCGGCGAACCATCTGCATACGGAGGTACTAGCCGCGTACTAGACGTTAACAACGGACGAGCGCGGAAACCGTTCGATCCGCGTCAGTGGCAATCGGTTTTCGCGCAATCGGGTCTACACCGTGGCGGACAGTGCCCGCGGTGTAATATAATTGTGCATCACACGTATAGTGGGCGTGACCACTGCCGTTTTTGTGCGCTACGAATTCGGTCGTGTGACAGGTATATATGAGTGGGAGGAGCCGGCGGGTCCCGCCTAGCGCCGCGACGGCAAAGTGGTTTTCACGTCACAGAGTCACCGCCGAATATTTCGTCGTTCGTCCGCCCGGCCGTCCCGCCGCGTTCGGAGATTTTCCCCCGTTTCCCGCGTATTCGTCGCGGCGGCGTATATTATCGAGAGAGTGATACACCCCATGTCTCCGCAGCCGTTTGACTTTTATTTTATTTGTCTAAAGCGAACGGCGGCGGTGACGTGATTCCTATCGATCGACCGTGAATTACCGGCGTCTTTTGTCTTTGTCGAAACGGGCAACATAGCCAAAATGCGCTTCCGGCATAGTATGTGTTCGGGCTTCGTCGGTCGTACAAACTCGATTTCAGTGCCAAAACAAACAAGAGAAGTTTTTTTAAATTTTTTTTTTTGAAATCTATTAATCCGCCGATTTGTTATGATTTCTTTCAAAATGTTTCGAAAAGGCGAATGAAAACGGTTTTAAAAAAAATATGTATGTATGTATATATGTACACATATTTTACATATTATATAGATATTTAGTATAACGTTTAATATTTATTTCGGTACCAAAATCAAAAGTTTATTCAACCTGCAACGAGGCCCCAGTATACTGTTAGGTTAAAAATATTTACTATATATTGTCTGTTAGATAGACAGGTAAATGCACGTTAGATGTATTCCACCGTAGTACGAACGTAATGATAAATAAATAAGAATTAATTGATTACTGAAAAAAATTTGACATATCCCATACGAATCCAATAACGTTACAAATCCTATAGTTTTATTTATTTTTTTTTTAAATTTATTTCATATACATATTTCACGAGAGAAAAAAATTATTTTTAATACGGGGATAATACGAGGAAGAAGCATAATACGTAATTCAGGTGGGAGATCTAAGTGTTCAATATCACCTTTTAGTTTTTCTTGTGGTACTCCTATAATTTTGAAAAGAATGATTTAATTTGACGAAGATTAAATGATTATACTTTCTGTTATCTTATTGTTTACAACAACCATAATAAAATGATAAATCCTTCTGAAAAACGTTTTGTATGCTTGTGTTCTCACATGACAAAATATTTATCCCCTCCGTGACCCACCCCTATTGTCATAATTACGTCACTATCGATATATAATATTATAGAGAGCTATATTCGAATGAACATGTTCGTTTTCTTCTCTCATTCGTCGTGCGTTACCTTAAAACGTACGAACACTACTATAGTAGCTAAAAAAAAAACACACACTATAATTAATACAGTTATTAAATATTTGAAAAGATTTTTAAAATTCGACTCAATCAAATTAATGATTAATATTGAATGCGGAATCAACTACACAAATGTCAATAGAAGAATTCAACATGTGCATATACATTTTTTTGTGTAATTAACAATTATATTTCGTTTTCATTTGAAAAACTTCTAACGACTACAATTACAAAAATAAAACTATCTAATAACCTTTGTGGAATATTTATTTACAAAGTCAGCATATATTATTATTTATTTATTTATCTATTTACAATAAACGCCAAGCGGAAATTACAAAGCTGGAAATACAAATACGAGTATCAATATAAAAACAAATTTGACGGTTTTAACCTTAAAACTAAAACTAAAAACTAAATTACATAAAATACCTAATATTAATACAGGGTAATCAACATAAACAAAAACACAAATTATTATCTTAGAAAGTAATAATTTTTTTTTGGAATTTCTTTTTTTCATTTAAGAAACAAACACCTTAAAGTGGTAAAATTTAATCATTTTAGGAAGTAAAAGCACTATTCATTTCGATAGAAACCACAATTGGTTATCGAATAGAAAACCATAACATAAATTCTATGAATGGATAAGATTTTAATTTTAAAATATTTTGATATTTGCTGAAGAGAAATTCTGCTTTTAGGTAAGTAATTTTTTTGAAATTTTTATTTGGTTTTATGTAAATGTATAGTTATTTTTGGTACAGTAAAAATGATAAATAAGATACATCATGTACTTGGAGAGAAAAAAAGGAGCTGCTAAGTGTACCACCTCTCACTTAGAAAGGTGAGAAGTTAAAAGACGGTAGTATATTATATAAATTTATTACATTTATAACTACACGCACTGATTACACAATACAATTTTGAGCTATGTTTGATTAAAAATATGGTTTAAAATGCGGCTATTTTTAAAAATTTCATCCAAATTTGAATTTAAAATAAATGCTTATTAAAAAAAAAAATATTACACTCAACAATGTTTTATCAACATAAAACTCAACTTAAATGAACATCGTGTTAAATTTTCAAGCACTTCTGTTAGGTTAAACAATGATATAACTTACCAAATGTCTAAATAAAAACTATGTAAACTCTGGCATATAAATATTTTGATCGAAACAAAATGTTTGGTAGAAAATACAATTCGTACAAATTAAATACAATGAAATCCACAACGAAACGACGCCACAGCGTGCCGTAAATACAGGTATATTCGTTTTTCCAATAAGTTTTTTTTCCTGTTTTTCTCAATTATTATGAAAGTCTCTTCAAAAATCAAAAGCTGACTTGTTTAATGTACTAACCAGATCTAAAACTTCGTCTCAGAAATGTTGCAACACTTAATACATCGAAACAATTTATCTCCTTGAACAATTGTTTACAGACTGCGGAAAACAAAACACACACATCATAATAAAACCAATAAATCCTTAGCTCTGTAATGAATCTAAAAAATGGCACAACGAAGTGTTGGTTTTCCTCGAGAATTTATAAATGAGCATAAATAACATATTGCATTTGCGCATAATTGGGAAAACCCGGAAAAATTGTACATTATGATTTCATTATTTTAAGTTTATATGCTCTATGTTTTCTACCAGAAATATTTCTCGAATAAAAAAAACGATTATAGACCATGTTTGTAAAACTTTTATTTTAGTTATTGAATATGAAAGTCGTTTTTTGATTTTCAGTATGGTTTTTTTTTTTTAAATTGAACAACACCAAAAGAAAATTTAAAAATAATTGAAAATTTTAGGGGATAATGATTTAATTTTTTGTTTTAACTCAGCTAAAATTATTCATAGAGACTTTAAATGTATAATATAAATAATAATAACAGTATAGAAGTTAAAAATTCTCCCCTCTAATGGTTCTAATTTATAAAAATTATTGTTTAACACTAAAAAAATGATTATCGTAAAGTATTTTTTTTCAAGTGAATTTGTATGTGTTTAAAAAAAAAAAAAAAACAACCGTGTGTTAATCATTTATCAGTGTTAGGAGATTTTATTTTACAGGGCTCGAACCGTTAGAGAGGAGATTTTAAAAATCCCTCTACCACTTTTGCCTTTTTAAATATTTTTAAGCGCGGATTTTAAGTGCGTATAAATCCGTTTCCTTATACATAATAAATTCAATCGTATAGGCAACCTATAGTACACGTCAGTGTTATATTAGTCCAATTCTCCCAGTTTCTAATTTTGAAAAAAAAAAAAAAAAAAAATTAAAACTAAGTAATACAGAACCGAACTCGTAAATAATAATCATTATTTGTATCGGTTATTATAGCGTTGATAATAATGTAGGCCGTTGCATATTTGTATTGACGTCATAAACGTTCGTTTGTGAAATGAACGCATGGGAGTATAGGTCCCTGGTACACGTAGCGCCGTTAAACCGACGTTGTGATCCGTTTTAACAACGGTTTAAAGCGGTTTTAAACGAACGGATTAACGAACGGATTCTATGTATACGAATTTCGAAAACCCGTGTTATTGAATATCAAATTCGATTTACAGACCGATCAATTAACAATTAATAACATGAATGTTTGTTCGAAATATGCTTATCTATCCGGCTGACCGGAAATTTATATTTTAACGTAATCTTTAACAATATCGTAAAAGTTGTTACTTGTAATCCTTTTAATCCTAATTTGTCTTAGTTAGTTAAAACTCACTACTTATATTATAATCTCCAAATAAACTCTCTCGCCCCTTTATGCAGAAACATTAAGATGAAGAATGGGAGGGGGGGAGTATATAAGGGGTCGCGTATAGGCAAATATGTCGACGGTTTTAAACATTTTATCAACTCTAAAATATTCAAATTTACTTTCAAATAAATTTATAAATCGTCTTGTGTCGTCACCACTGTGTAATTATTTAACTCGGGACTGTGTTTAGAGGGAAGGAGGAGGCAATAGAGACATTTTCTAAAGTTTTTCAAAACTACCGAGAACCGACAAATCGGTATGAAACTCTAAATAAAATTAACAATGTAATTATTGCGTCAGTAGTTAGTTGCTTTATTTTCAAACTCTTTACTTAGAGTGATAATGGATATCTTTTGATTATTAGAAGAGCGCAAGTATAGACTATAGCAACGATTCCCAACCTGTGGTACACGTACCACTAGTGGTACACGGAAAGCTCGTAGGTGGTACAAGAAGATATTTTTTGACTATTGAAAAAAAAAAATGTATTAGTAATAACGTCCATGTAATCTATACATATAAAAATGAATCTCTATTTCCCGTTCAATACCAAAAAGTAATACAGGTAAAACAAATAAGAAAAAATTGGCACAGACAACGACGAACGGGACAGCTAGAAGTGAAAAAAAAAAGTGGTTAGTTATAATGTTCATGTAATCCATATGTAATAATAAAAAAAATAACTGTACTCTTGTATATTATATGTAAATAATTATGCTTGATTTAATAATAAAAAGTCCCATACGTGTAAATGACGTACCTACGCATTTTTATTTTCTTGATGAGTAAAAAAAAAAGCCTAATAATCGTGGCAAGTGGTAAGTGAAAAATTTTCAAAATATGTAAATGGTATGCG